CAGCAGAGCGGAATTGTGGTTCCAAGGCTCCCAACCAGGAGTTCTCACACTTCAGTGGGCATCAGAATCCCAGGCACACAATCAAAAACACAGATTCCTGAGCCCTACCCCAGGGAGGCTAATTCCTAGGGTCTGCCCTGGTGTCCAGGAATCTGCATTTTTAACAAACAATCCAGGTGGTTCTAGTGCTGGAGTTCATGGACCACACTTAAAAACAATTAATCTCCACTGCCCCAAGGAAAGAAATCAAGAGAGAATGTCACATGTATATGACCTGGCTGGCTCCCATGACCATTTGAGAGTGGGGCTATCTCATTTCGGTCCCCACTAGCTCTGTTCTGCTCTCCAGGCCCTGTCTGTTCCTCTCTTCTAATGCATAAGGGGGGGCCAGAAAGTGGGTGGCCGTGTGGGCTGGCCCTTTGTGCGCCTTGCGTAACACTAACAACCAAAGGAAGAGAACAAGAGTTTGCCTTCACCTCCCTAAACTTCTCTCTGACCTTGAAAGGCCTCTGACGTTAGAAAATCCAGAAGGAAAGCCCGGACTTGAACAGACCCAAGTGACCATGATTCTGGAACAAGACTAGGCTGACCACCACCTATGACCCTGACTCCTGAGTCAGCCTCTGGGCGATGCCATATGATCAGCGGGTCCAGCAAACACAAACTCCTCGAGGCTGGCCTCGGCTGCCTAGAGCCCATCTTTACCTGCTAGACTCTGATTTCCAACTGATGGAAATGTAATACAGCTCAGGACACGCTACCCCAGAATACGGGACCTTGGCATCTTGAGTATTTTAAGCTGAAGGAGTTTGAGAAAATGGCAGAGGCAGATCACTCTGACCTCCTCCCCCTCCCCACCCTTCTTCCCTGAAACAGCCCTTAAAACCCTCCTGTGAGAGGTGCCCTCCCTGTACTCGAAGGAAGGGAGCATCCTCATCTCTGGAAGGGAGCATCCTCATCTCTGGAAGGGAGCATCCTCATCTCTGGAGACAAAGGGACTCCCCCAAGGAGAATCCTAACAAACTGGCCTTGTACAGTTTCCCCCAGTTACAACAACCTCATACTCCTTCACCATTCATATTCCTCCACGACTGTCCACTCCTCATCAAACCCAGCACAAAAGCACATGGGTCGACCTGTTGCTTCATTTCCTTATGAAGAAATAGTAAGGCTCCCATGTCACATCACATATTAAATAAATCTGGATGATTTTCTCCTGTCAATCTGACTTTGTCAGTCTAATTTTTAGACCCAGTCAGGGACCCTAAAAGGGTCCATGAAAACTTTTTCCTTCTCTACAGATAGCATCATTGCTCTAGACCTGCTAGAACCTGATGCTATGAACACATCCCATCATTGCTGGGAAATGTCGCTAGTCTATAAGTGTAAGATACATGTTGAAAAGAATGTAAAATAGCTTCTTAGTAATTTTATTATATTGATTACACATTGAAATAATATTTTGGATATTTTGGGTTAAAGAAAATGTAGTACTAAAAGTAATTTCACCTGTTTTTACTTTTTTTAATTTATATTATACCTTTTTTTAATGTGGCTACTACAAAATTTAGTTATGTGTATGGCCTGCATTAGTTGCTTGCATTATATTTTTACTGGACAGCACTATTTTCGACAGCCCAGCCAGCCATGGCTTCTACAGAACTTGTTCTGTAAAGTTACTGTATTTTCTTTACCTCGAAAAGCAGACTGATTCTGTCCTACTCTGTTTCTCAGAGGTGCTGGGCTATGAGCCGCCCAAGCGTCCTTGAGGAAGTGTCGGTGCTGTAGGCTCTTCACTGGGACCGGAGCAGACTTGAAGATCTCTTCCAGCTCCCACAGCTCTCGTCCTGATCACCAAGCGATCACCAGACTCCCACACAAAGCTTGCTTCCAGCCCTTGCGCAATAACAGTGTGTCCACATCACTCAAAACTCCACACAGATCATTTTCCCTTGAAACAATGGAGCAAGTGCTGCTAAAAACTGCCAAGCTGTTACCCACTGTGCAACTGGTCCAAGTGTACCACGGGAAGGGAAAGGGAAGAGCTGGGGCTGCAGTCTAAGACTAGCCTTCCCTCCCTCACCCCAGCTCAGGCCTCACTGGTTCTCCTTCCCAGAGACTGGAGCCCACCTTCCTGTGCGCTCGGCCTAGGCTCAGAGAGGCAGAAGGGGCCCTTGAGCAGTTTACAGCACAGCGGGTGGGGAGGCAATGCTGATGCTGGCAACTCCAAAACAGAAGACAGGTGCCAGGCCCTCAAATTCTGGAGAAAACTGCTGGACGCTTTATCACCACCAACAACCCTCAAGACGCAAGGGGCAAAATTCCAACCTCAGAATCCTGCCTTTTTTTTAAAAAAAATATATGATTTACCCACGTGAAAACTCAATACTGGCTATTGACATGGGTGTTGGAGGTGGAGTTGGGTTTAGATCTCCCTTCTACCACTCAGCAGCTGTAGGACCCTGGATAAGGTAGCTCCATTTATCTGGGGCTCAGTTTCCCCATCTCTAACAATGGGGACAATTCCACCTACCTCACAGAGCTGAAACATTCAACAATGGATGAAAAGGTGCCTTGCACATAATAAGTGTTTGATAGATATGAGCTTCCTTCCCCTTCAATTTTCCCATAGCAATTAGGCAAAGCAGATACTAAAAACCTTGTGGAAACTGAAAGTAAATCCTCTATACTCTGATCTGTTTTTCATGTGTTTTTTGTTTTTTCTGAATTTTGGTGCCTGGTAGAATTTAAAACCCAGGTACAGGAACTTTGCGAAGGCAGGGATTATCTTTGCAGCCCTAGCATAGCGTCTGGCACAAGGTAGGTGCCAGGAAAATGCTTGTGGAATGAATGAGGGAATGTGGGATTTACTGCGAGCAGGGGCTGGCGCAGGTGTGGAGCATATAAGCACTAGGAGAGAGGTCAGAGTTGGCAGGGTACAGGGGTTTTGCTGATCAGTGTGACGTTTGCAGGCCACGAAGAATTATTCTGCAGAATGACATCTGAAATCTTGGTGGAGCCTTTTTTCTAAGCAGCAAAGCTCAAGGTGCTCTGTTAATATTTGTCCTCCACTCAGCCATGCTTTACTCAGAAAGGAAGGTTAGAACACACGCCGAGAAGCAAACCTGGTCATCTCTACGTGAGGAAGCATAAACAATTCCGTTTTTCGTAATGATTTTTTTTTTTAACTTACCACAGTTGGTTATGCCTGAAAGATCAAACTTAAATAGATGGCTCGTGATACAAATATATGCCATCAGAGTGTTTTCAAATGTAAAATTCTTAGCATTTTCTGACTTTGGTGGGGGTTGGGGGTGGAGAATGAATAACTATTCTTTTAAAATTTTAAAGATGTATCTGGTGTTAAGTTCCCTCACAGGTGTGTGAGGAGGGCTCAGAAAACCTATTAGTTTACACTTTATGGTTAACAAAAAGTGTTGCATTCTCTGATCTCGCCAGACCACTGAGGACTTCTCCCGGTTAGCTCTCCTGCCCTCCCCACACAGTGGGTTTGGGATTGCAGTGACCTTGTCTGAATCTTGTTCTGCTGCTCACAGGAGCTTTAACCCTCTGGAAGCCTGCAAGTCCCACCCTTCACCTCCCAGGTTTACCCTCCTATAAAGGAAAAATCCAAAAATGTCAAACCCATCAGCAGGGCTGCAAAGGGGATGTTAAAATCCACAGTCACATCACCTTAGAGGGTAGGGAGTTGGTAAATGTCACCCTCGATACCTACTTTTCAATTGCCCTGAACAAAAGATCCATCTTGTTTCATCCCCAGACCTCAACTCAATTCAATCTTCAGAACATTCAAACCTGCAGTGCAAGAAAACTGAGGAAAGGACTTTATGGCGCCTGTTTGTGTGCTAGAGAAGCCGTCTCTGTGCTTTCACTGATTGCTTCCATGATCACCCCAGTGGCAGGACTTACTGGCATAGGGAAATCTAGCTCAGCTTACCTCCCTGGTGCTGTGGATGAACAGAACAGAAATATGCCTTGAGAGAAGATTTGGAAATTTCTGATCCAAATGAGAAATTTCTAGATGAAAGGTTAAATTTTCTAAATGCAACGAACAGGTAAGAGAAAATAGGCCTATAAGAACTAAGGGTCACTGGTCATTCCTTAAACGCGTAGCCACGACTGCACGTCCTTGGGAAGAAGTGAGACTGGAGGCAGCGGTCCAGATAAAGGAGTCCCCAACTATTCGCTTCAAAGAATTGGAAAAGGCAATTAGATTCATAATACACCCAACTTTCTGGATCATAACCACATCGAGATGCCAAGAATTTGAGATTCTCCTTCTATAAAGAAGGAAAGACAAAGGATTAAGATACGAGATTTCCAGGAGTTTCCAAGATTTCTAGGCCTTGGAAATTCAGAGCAAGATTTCTACTCCATCATGCTGGACTTGGGTCTAAACGCCAGGGAAGGAGTTTGGCAAGAAGCATTGTTCCCACTGTCCTGGCTTCAGCTGTGTATGAACGAAGGTAAGAACAGTGCCAACCACGGCCAGGACACTGCTCTGCGATTCTGTGTAGTACAGGAGATACTGCACTCTAGGAAAGCTGGTTGGTCAGGCTAAAAACACCTCCCAATTTCTGATGACACCACAATAGTCTGACACCCAAGGGCTGCTTCCTGGGGAAGAACAGCTTTCCTAAAGTCACAGGTCTAAGCTGGTGGACTGACAAGCTCAGTAATGAGACCACGAAAACAGCATACGTTCCAGAAGCATGCTTTCTGCTGGGGGAGGAGAAAATGTGAAAGAAGAGGTACCCTCCTTTTGTTTCCCGGCACCTCTCATACACAGTCACCCAGTCACCATCACTCACACCGTCAGTCACACCCAGCCACAGTCACCCAGAGTCACAAACACTGTTGAAAGTCTGACTCAAGTCAGAAAATTGCAGGGTCCCCCACAGTTAGGTACAATCTACCCCACTCAGTCTCACAGTGACATGACGCTCATTCCTCTGAACATCCACAACTCCTCTACTCACCTGATTGCCAAAGACAGCTATGCAGCAGGCTGTTGAAACCTCATTAGCCCCAAACCAGACGGAAGCGATGCGCGAGGGCATGCCCAGGATGAAGACCTGGGCTACAGAACAGATGACCTGGCCCAGCACGGTCACTGGGAAGAGATGTGGCTTCAGGCTGCCCAACTTCACCCAGGCCCCCAGGCAGTTGAGAGCAGAGCCGAGGAGGGCGATGGTGCGCAGGCCGAATTTCTCCAGCAGCCAGGCCACAGGCAGGACGAGAGGGATGTAGGTTAGCATGTAGCACATGGACAGCCAGTCGATGGCGAAGGCGCTAACCCCGTAGAAGTTCATGAAGATGTTATTGATGGAGCCGTACTGGATCCACTGGAAAGCGTTGCACATGGAGTAGGAGCTAAACACCAGGATCACCGCCCACCGGCGCCAGCTCACCTTGATCACGCTAAGGTCCTCGCGGCCTGAGCTACTGGGGCGGGCCAAGCCACCGGGGTGGGCCGAACTGCTGGGGTCCGCAGAGACGCTGGGGTGCATCGAGACGCTGGGTTGGACCGAGACACTGGGGTCCGCAGAGACGCTGGGGTCCGCCCGGACTGCGGACTCCTGCGCAGGGGTGCCATCGCACTCCTGTTGGTTGGGATCTTCATTCACCATGACCACAGGTGCTGGGGACTCCGGCGGTCTT